TCTGGGGCAGACATTCCAGCCTCTCCCGACCCTACCCACAACCTCGGGAGCCAGCCGCTCTGAAAGGGTTAATTCCGCTCCCGTCGAGGCCACGCCCTCTCCATCCGGGCACTCCCGGCAAAACAGCTCCGCCCCCTCCATCCGGGCCCTGGACTCGGGACTTTAACCGACCCCCCACCTCCCGCTGGAGCCCCAAGAGAGAACCACTGCATCAATCACACCCATTTAACTCTCTCTGGGCTTGAGCCGACGAACCCCTCCGCGCAGCGCCGGAGCCGCGCGGGACGCGTGGTAAGAGGCCTGAAGTGCGCACGCAAACTCACGTGACGGCCAAAGATAAGAGCCCGCAGACAGGGTTTTACCAACCAGGCAGTCAGCGGGCACGCAGCGTGCGCGCCGGTGTGGGGCGGTCCGGGACCTTCGTCGCAACCTGCTCCCTGCCCGACCTCATCACTCCCGGTGGAAGCGAGAGGTTACAAGCTCGCTTCTTACCTGGGGGAGGGTGAAGCGAAGGGGAGGGCCGCCGGCTGAGGCTCCGCTGTGACTCAGCCACCCGGGCAGGCCGCCCGCCCGGGATTCCCTTCCCCAGCTTTTCCCCGGCTGCCGGCCCCCCCGCGCCCCCCACCGAGGAGTGACGGTGCCGGCCCCGGCCCGCTGTGTGTCACTGCAGGCCTTGTGTCTGCCTCTGACTGGGCGCTGTGTTCACCAGTCTGTCTGACACGGTTGGCTGTGCGTGGGTCCCGGTGTCTGTCTCCGTGTGCACCTGCATATCTGTTCATCTTGTCTCCCTCTGTGCCTGTGTCTGACGCGTTCCTGTCATTATCCCTGTCTACATGACTCCGCGGGGCTGTCTCTGTCTGTGTGTCTGCCTAGCTCCTGTCTCGGTCTTTTGTCTGGGTCTGCCTCTGCATCACTAGCGTGATCACGTGTGTCTCTCTGCACATGCCCTTCTGTGTTTGCCTTCATGTTACTGAACAGAGTCTGGGCGACACTGGCGCAGGCCCACCCTACTGACTCCTGGCTATGCTCCTCTTGATCCTCACATCTTGCTGGATCAGTGATTATTTATTCTGTTTCGAGTCAAGTATTTGGAGGTCTGTCCGCCTTCAGTCAGGTTCTTTACCATCCCTCGACATCCCTGCTTATTCTCACAGCTCCCTGTGGCTGCTACTGTGATAATTGCTAGCATTTCGTGAATATTTATTACATGCCAGGCACTGCATTAAGTATTTTACAAGCATTTTTTTTTCACTCTTCTCCAAAACCTGACATAGGAAGTACTTTGATTACCCAGTTTTACGGATCAGGAAATTGAGACCCAGAGAGGCTGGGTGACTTGGCCAAATCATTCTGCAAGTGAAGAATGAAAGAGCTAGGCTTCTTTCCTGAGCCACATTCTTACCACTCTTCTATATTGCCTCTGTCCTACTCTCCCTCTTTTAGTTTTATCCTCACAGACCATTTTCTGGTCAGCCTTCCTCTCAGCTCTACCCATGTTACCCTCCCCACGTTCTCTAGAGAAGAAGGTAGGAGGCTGTGCAGCAGATCTCAGAAATCATAGGTTCTTGGTAATGAAGCTCATTCAGTTAACATTATTCAACACAAATCCACCACACACCCCAATGTGCAAAACATCATGCGAAATAGCTAGAGATACATAGAAGAAAACAGTTCCACTCAAGAAGCCGCCTATGTAATGGGGAAGAACAACACACAGAAAACTTAAGACCCTGACTTAGGGATTATCTTCCATTTTCTCCAACAAAGAAATGGGAAATAAAGCAGGATCTCAGGCAGAGAACTGAGAGAAGGAGAGAGGTAAGCAGAAAAGGTTAAGACATAGGTATGGGGGCAAATGCTATAGTGCAGTGGGAAGAGAATGGGACCTAAAGAGATCTGGAAGGAAAGGTGAAATGCCAAGATTGCTGTGACTGGTAGTGATCTCCATTATCTCCCCAAATCAATTTCTGAACACCCTCCAAAAGCCAGGGTGTTCAACAACTCCTATAGAGGCAAAGCCCTTCTCCTCACAAGAAAAAAATTCCTCCAGGGTAACTCATATCCACTTTTTGGCTTGCAAACTCCATCTTCATTCAATAAGCAACTGAGTTGTGGCACTGGGGAGATAATGGAGAGAAGATTTTTTTGGTAGAAGTGGAGAGGCTGGTGAAGTATAGGCCTGAACCATTTATAGGAGATAGAAGGGAGGTCCATAAACCAGGAGGGCTGAACCACTCAAGCACCACATGGTGAGGTGCTCAGAATTGGACTGGACCATTCTGAAGAGTGGGCATGATCCAGATCATACCAAGCATCTCAAACCATGTGATGCAGTTAGATTGCTGGGGAGAGAGGGTCACTCAGACAGGACTTACCAGATGGAGTTTGGTGTGCCCTGTCTCATTGGAACCAGCACCCCAGCAGTGGGATACAACAGACCACGGTGGGTGGGGTGGGTAGTGCTACGGGGCTGGCATGTTGCCCTGGGGGGAACCTAAAAGAAAAAAGTCAGTTAGAGGTGGGGTCTCCCAGGCTGGAGAATTTCCCTGGGCTCCCTGCCCCCTCAGTAAAGAGAAACCTGGCTCTGGTGGTCAGATATGATAGGAGAATCTGTTTCCATGGCAACCAGAAAAAGCCATCCCCAAACTGGTCATCCAACCTTCCCCTTTGGGAAGCACGCTGGACCAGTCAGTAAGAGGCCATGATATGGCATGTGAGTAAGTCTACCCAACCGCTGATCCCTCTTCTGACAGGACCCTCCTGCTGAGACTCCCTGTCCCCAGAGTTGCCCCAGCTGCCCTATCATCTGAACCCAAGCCAGCCTGAGTTCTAGCACCAGGACATGCAGACCTGCTTCCTTCAGCTCTGTGTCCTCTCCAACATTATCAAGACATGAGACAGTCAACCCCACCCTCTGGACTCTGCCCCCTCCTCTTCCCCCAGGCGGGTGCAGGCAGGTCTTGGCTAGCAGCACTGGTAGCCAGACTAGATGAACGGGCCCAACAGGGAGGGGCCATCCTCCCCTGCAAGAACTATGACTCTGGGCCTGAGCCTGGAAGTAGCCTCTGCTGCAAGCCTCCCCTCACTGCCACCCCGAAGGCAATATCCTGTTTCCCCATCACCTCCTTCCTCTTATGTGGCCTAAGAAGGTGATAGAGGACCACTCCCTTCCCAACCCTCAGAGACAAGAAGCTAGGTCTTAGTGTAAGTCCAAGGCCAAGAATCAGGTGTCCATCCAGGGGTCAGAGATAAGTGGCCCCTCACCTCAGACTTGCTCCTCAGGAACCTGTTTTCTGCTTCCTTAGTCATAGTTCTCTGCCCTTATGGACCCTAACACTTGGGCTCCTAAACTAATCTCTATATTCCTTGGCCTTCCAGCCCCCATCCTTCCCCCTGCCCCAGAGACTCAGGCCTCTAGCCCCCAGTCTCCATGATGCAATGTTCTGCAAGCTTCTGTGGCTGCTGATGACACTGCCCCCAGGGAGGTGCTATTTCTGACCCACCAAGGTCCCCTCACTGGGTCAGGGTAGTGGTCAGCCGTAGGTGGGTGAGGTCAGGCAGGCCAGGCCCTTCCTCTGGGGAAGGGAACTTGAGGTTGGAACTCTCCAGGATGGAGAGGCTTACAACCTGGGAGCAGGTAGTATCTGTAGTCTAGCATCTGTGTTTTGTGGTTGTGCTAGGGGAAGGGACTCGGGAAGAGCTAGTCTAGTGGGCAGACGTTAGGACAGACCAAGAGGAGGAATGAGGGGGCAGCCAAGGGGGTCAGAGGGGTGTGTGTGGGGTGTCTGGACAACAGAGTGGGGGAGGGGCTAACAGCCATTTAAAGGGCCAGCCCCAGAGCTTTAATCCCTCACCAGCCTTGGACCTAAGCCTGAGGCTGTAATTCATCTGTCCAACAGCTGGGGTGTGTGTTTGTGTGTGTGTGTGTATGTGTGTGTGTATGTGTGAGGGGGGCATGTGGACGGGAAGGGGGAGCTGGGTTGGGGGAGGGGCTGGGGCTTTCTTGTGCACAGAGCCAAACAACAAAAGGGGAAGCTTAAGTGCCAGCTCCAAAGTGCCCAGGCCAGGCCACTGACCTGCAGACCAGCTGGTGGCCCCCCACCTGATGGTCGACAGACTCCATAGTTTGGACTCAAGGATTCTTGGCCAAGGAGTCTGTACCCAAAGGTGGGGCCCTGGAGAAAGCCCAGGCTGTGTACCCCCCAGGCAGGCTGTCACCCCTCCTTGCACTGTCCCAGACCTGGCAGGCCCCGCAACAGACTCAGCCTTAAATGCCCTGCTCACCAGCCAAGCCTCCCCAGACATGGCTTGCCGGCTCCCCCTCCCGCCAGCACAGGGTGGCAGCGGCCACACCGAGGCTGTCCCTTTAAATCATTACCACCCCTGATTGTGTGGACGAACCAAGGGCCCTGCCCCCCAGGCAGGCGGCTTGCCACCTCCCCCCCCACAAGTCCCCAGAAATGTGAGGACCATTTAAAGGGACAACAGAGAGGCAGCCAGGTCTCTAACTGCCCCCCCACCTCCACCCAACACACACTCACAGCCCCTTTCCCCAGCGACATACAGCCCTTTGCCCCTCCAGGGGGCCCCCTAAATTCCGGTTATCTCCCCACCCCTAGAGACTGCTAGAAGGAGAAAGGGGGCCAGAGTTGGGGGGGGCGGGGAACTGGGGGGGAGCAAGAAAAGGCAGGGACTCCCTCCTCCCCCAGAACCCCAGGGGACAGGTCGGAAGGAAAGCAAGACCCCAAAGAAGCAGCCAGACAGAGCCCCCAAAAGGTGCCTTGGGCAGACCTAGGGCACACAGGCTGTTGGGCGAGGAGAAGGGAATCAGGCTGCACGAGACGCCGGCGCGGCCAGCGGGCGACAAGCCCAAGTGGGGGCGATGGAACACGGAAGGCCAGGGAAGAGGCAAGGCCAGGGGGGAAATGGGGAGACGGAAGGGGAAAAGGGGTCATCCGGGAGGGTGTGGAGGAAAATCAGAGAGGGGAGGGCGAGCCAGGCCGGGGTTACCTGCTGGGTGTCTGTCCCCCGGCGGTGCCCCCGGAGTCCGGGTAGGGAGGGGGGGAAGCAGCAGGGGGGGGGGAGTGGGGGCTGGGGGGGCGGGGGAGACGGTCCCTCCTCTGCCTCCTGGGCCTGCCCCGGCGCTTGCAGCCTCTGCCTCCCTCCCTCCTCCTCCCCGTCCCTGAGTCCCGGAGTCAAACAAAGAACTGTAGCAGGCTCTCCCCAACCCCCTCCCTCCTCCTCCTCCTCCTCCTCCACCTCCTCCTCCCCTCCCTCCCTCCCCACCAGCAGGCTCCCTCCTCCTCCCTTCCGGTCTCTTCCTTTAACTACCCGCCCCCCCCAGCCCCCAGCACTAGTCTCTCTCCACCCACCCACCCCAACCTTTTACACACCCCTCAGCCTAGCCTTGTCCCCACTAGAGAAACTGTGGAGTCCCTTTGCAAAATGAAAGCCTCCAGAGAACAACATGGGAGGGGACTGAGGTCTTGCTTCAAAATCAAGAACCACAATACAATTATTTTATTTTCAAGGCCCACGGAATAGTCTTAGCTATTTCTTCTCCAAAAGGGGAAAAAATAATCCTAAAGAAAGCAATACAAATCTGCCTAAAGGCTTCATCAAATAAAACACAAAAAGCAGTTGAAGCTAATCTCCAGCCCCCTAACCCAAATCTCCAAATTAACACAAACTATTCACTCCCCCCTAACAAACTCCTAAGGGTAACTGCTGGTTTGGAGCAGGCCCACAGGAATAATAAACTAATAACACTAACAATAAAAGTATTTCATAACAACAAGCACTCATTCTGTGCCAGGCACTGTGCTAAATGATTTGCATAAATTATCTCATTTTTTTCCTCACAGCGGCCTTCAAGGTAGGTATTGATATTTAAATGTTCAAGATTAAAATGCAAGGCTCAGAGAGGTTGTGACCTTTCCAAGTTCCAGTAGCCACTAAGTGACTGAGCTGGAATTAGAATCCAGGTCTGATCTGACAGCCCAAGCTCTAAGGTACATAAAACTACAAACTGATTTATTCCAAGACCATCTCCAACCCCAGGACTTAGTAAAGAAGAGCAGCCAGAACAAGCAACTGAGTCCCCCTCCACCTAGTGAGAGGCTACAGGCCGATTCACCGGCATACACACAATAAAGACCCTTACTTTCCAGTCTAATACTGTTTCTTGGCCCTTTTCCTTTCATTGTTTGTAGATAGGAGTGTGCCATTAAGGGGACGTTAGGGATAAGCTGGTGTGTAGTGAACCCCCGATACTAAACACAACTCTTCTGTCTTGCAACCACTCCCACTTCAAATCAATCTAGGGAAGGGGGCAATAGGACACTTGGTCACGCAGCAGGTGGGAAAGTAAAAAGACTGCTAGGTAGCTCTTTCTATGGGGGCAGAGACTTGGAGGAGAAGCTCTTCTGTGCCAATCTAGGGAAAAGTGACCCAAGGCTCCCTCAGCCCAAGCAAAGGGGCAAAGTCTTTCAGCCACACCACACCCGTGCCCCTCCCCCTCACAAAACTCCAGGCCGGGGTTTCCCACCTGCAGGATGCTAAGACCAAGGGAAGGGAGAGGGGAAAGAGATGGCACGGGACTGGGACTGGAACTGGACTCGGGGCAGAGGTGGGAGGGAATAGAAGGGGGAGGAAGCCTCATTGCCTGGCAACCGTCCCAGGGCACGTGCACTGGTGACATCATCCCAGGCCACCTCTAACACAGACCTTTGACCCCTATGGGGCGGAGGGGGTGTGCTGGCTAAGCTTCCTGGAAACACCCTTAGGAATTCTGGGAATCCAAAAAGGAGAGGGAGGAAGGAACCCAGGCGTCCTTATCTCTTTTACCCCTATACGACTCCAGTCCCAGGGACTCAGGCCTCTTGCCTGACTCCTACTCTCCGCCCGCAGCCCTGACCTCCCCGCCTGCAGCCCTGACCTCCCAACCCACATTTTTGACGGGAGTCGGCCCGACACGCCCCTCGAAGATACTGTGCCTTCTCTCTCCCGAGCAAGATCTCGGTGGGGGCCGGCAGGCGGGGACGGGGGCACCGGGTCCCGCGGGGTTCCGTCTTCCATCTGCAGGATCCCCCGTGCCCCAGCCGGCCGCCAGCCGTAATCTGTCTGGGTCCCCAACCCTCCCGCCCCTCCCCGCGCTGTTCCAGGGCGGAGTCAGTGGAGTTGAAACCAGGACACGGCAAGAGGAAGAGTTATATAACTGAGAGAAGCGAAGAAGGACGAGTGGAGACAGGGACAGACAGCCCGAAAGGAGCCGAGGGAGGTGCAAAGAACGCCAGAGCGAATGAGAACGAAACATTAGGAATGGGAAGGGTTTTGGTGCTCATCAAAGAGCAGGAATTCACGCGAAGAAGGGGCGTGATGGCCCAGAAGAGTCACCTGGGCCGTCCGGGGCTTCCCCGCAGTGCCCTCCCCCGCCACCAACAGCAGCTGGGCCAGGGAGGGAGAAGCCTCGGGAAGGGGCGCTGATACCCGCTCGCTTTCTCTTGGGGAAGCAACGTAAGCCAGAGCCCGGGAAGGCAGCGGCAGAGCAGATGGGGCCGGAAACCACAGCTCCGCCCAGCCCACCTGGGAGTGTGGGGCGCCAGCTGGGGGGAGGTGGGGAACAGGTAGTCCGCCCTCCTGAGCGAGGCTGGGCATTATAGTCACGACCCGCGAAACGGTGCAGACCGACCGAGACGTGGGGGTCCCCAAGAGCTGAGGGGCGCAGCCTTCGGCGGCTTTACACTGACTCCACAATGAGGAGGGGGCGCCCGGCTCGCCGCGCAGGCGCAAGGGGGTGCTCGGGCGCGTGCGGACCAGGGCTGGGGGGGGCGGTGGGCGCGAGCGTGTGGGAGTGCACGTGCGGGTCCCGGGCAGCTGCCGCCTCTCAGCCTCCGCCGCTGCCCCTCCCCTCTCCCGTTCCCGTCGCTATCATGACCCTTCCCCATTGGCTATCAGGGCCCTGACGTCAGGTCCAACCGCTGGAGCGGATTGGGTGGACGGGAGAGTTTGGGAATCCGGCTCGCAAGTCTCGCCCTCCAGTTACTCTGGCAACTGGGCAAGCCACCCTGGGGAGAGAAGGGGAGCTGAGGTGAACGCCGCGCCTCAGGTCCCGCCCCCTCCGGACAACCGCCGAATCCCCTCTGGTAGCTGCGCAACTCGCTGCCTCCCCGCCTTCCTCCCAGGGCTCTTCCTGTCTCGGGAACCAGGCGTCCTGCCCTCGACCTTCCCCGCAGTCTCTAGGCCCACCGCTCTCTTCAACCTCCACCCAGTGTCATAGCCATAAGCTGAAGCAAACGGGAAGCGAATCTACGTCGCTTAGCAACCATCCTGCGTGTCCCCCCCCTGCAATTTACCCGGGCCCGGGGAGGTGGAGACTGAGTCCCTAGAGTCCCCTCTCCATCTTCTGCCCTGCCATCTTCGGCCCACAATTTCCTGTGAGGGGACCCAGATGACAGGAAGTCAAATGGGGGCTTCAGCCTACTTTTCCCTCGGACAGGGACCGGGGCTTCAGCTACCTTTACGGGTACGTCCCGCACCTGCACTCCGCGCCGCCCTGGGTGCGCGTCTCGCCCTCGCCATCTCGTGGCTGCGTTGGGAAGATTCCTCACAGAGAAGCTGTGCGGGGCGCGCGAGGGCTCGGGAACAGCAGAGTGGGGGCAGGACCAGGGATGAGGAGACTAGCGGGGCGAGGCGTAGTGAAGGGGAGATGCAGTGGGCAGAATGGGATGGAGGAGAAGGCTACCGCTGGGAGGCTCTCGGGGCCGCTGGTGGGAAAGTCAGACTGAGGTTTCTATACCTCACCCATGCAGAGAACTGGAGGGAGACAAAGTAGCCCTGGGACCGGGACACACCCCAGTCTGACCACATCTGACCTTAATGGGTCATGGCATTGGCTTGTCTGCAAACTCTGCCTTTTAGTCCTGCCTTTCCGTGAGGACCGCCGCGCCCCGCCCAGGAGTCGAGAAGGGGAATTGCAGCCCAAGGGGAACTGGAGTCCTTTCAGGCCTCTCTGGACATCCGGAACCTGACATATCTGCTTCCCAGGTCTTCCTCCTTTGCCACCATACTCTCTTCTAGGGGACCCATGACCTTCGCCCCAGTCTTCTTCCCAGTGCCCTTCCCAAGACCCAAACGTCCATCCCTAGCTCTACCCCTCCAGACTCGGGCGTCCTGACCCCTGCACAGAGTTTCCCTCTTTCCAGATGTCCTCGCAGCTCCCCGTTACCTGGTTCTGGGGGGTCCCAGGTGTTCAGGCTCCGCAAGGTCTCCCAGGGGGTCGAGCGGCCCCCCCTTCTCCCAGGCCGGGGCTGGGGGGGCCGCTCCGCCCAGTGGCGCAGTTGGATTTTCCAACACAAACACCCGCACCCCCCGCTCTCCAGCCCCGCCCCCTTCTCGTGGTCCCGCCCCTCCTCGAGCTCAAGTCCCCCTCTTCCGCTCCGCCCCATCTTCTGCAGGTCCCGCTCGCCTGAGCGCTGGTGCCAGCTAGGATGCCGGATGCGGGGTGCTGGCTTCAGGGTGCAATGTACAGGGTTCAGCCCCTGATCCCTGCCTGACAAATCCCTATCCCATTTGGATCACGCGCCGTTCAAAGGTAAGCCCCGCCCCACCCACTCAAGTCCAGCCCCGAGACTTAGCGACAGCCTCCTCACATCCCCCTCCACCCTGCCCATTCGTTCAAGGCCACGCCTACGTTCCTCTCCAGGCCACCCCACCTCCCTAGCTTCTTCGTGCAGTAGCAGCTTCACTATAGCTCTGTCCTCTGTGAAGCCCGGGCTTCCTCCCTCCCCAGATCCTCACCATTGCATTGAGAGACATAAGGCTTGTTGTCGCGGGTGTTTTACAGCACTGAGCTCCAATACAACTCTTTCACTTTTATGGCTAGCACAACTAGGTATCTCCAGGGCCACATTACACAAATTCGGCCAAGGTCAAAGCCTGAGGTCAGTCCAGCCTCAATCCTAGGTGCAATATCTGTCTTAGCTCCTTGGAGGCCCCGACCCTCTGTCAAGTGGAGAAGACAAGGAGGACTCAGCTGTCCAGGCTCATGAGTAGAGCAGTGCCCCTCTTGATCCAGTGATCAGACGTCATGGCCCCAGACCGCAGGTCGATGCCGATGACGAAAGAGGGTCGGTCTGAGCTGCCTGCCCGGTTGGGATAGTAATAACAGGGACAGGAGTACATGCCTGGGGGAAAGGAGAGGAGGACTCAGAACCCCGGGAGCCTCCGGGAGAGCAAGGCAGGAGCAGGTGTGGGATGGGCTGGAGCAGAGGATGGGTTAGGTTCCAAACTAGGGATGGGGCATGCAGGTCTTGGGGAGCTGTCCCACCCTTGGCGCTCTTCTTGCGGCTCTCTGCAGGCCGGAAGTGGATCGTAGGCATGAGGCAGACAAGCTGCATAGGCTCTGCCTCCACCAAGCAGGAGTTCTTCCGGTCCCAGCCAGCACCTTCCAGGTACAGGCCCCGAACCCAGACACCATCCTGGGGAAAAGTGGGAGCAGGTCTGGGAGAAGCTAGACTTCAGTTGCCAGCACCCCTGACCTGCTACCTTTCTCCTCCCTTCTCATCCAATTATTTCCCATTTTTGCTCCCAGTACACTCTTTTGCTCAGATCCCCAAGCACAACAGGCTCCCACCTTGGGTGGATACACTAGGTTGCTGTCATCCACAGAGGAGACGATAAACTCCCAGGAGAGGCTGTCCACTGAAATCTGGGGGTTGAAGGTGAGAATAAGGGAAGACCCTGAAGAGGAGAATAAATGCACAGCCACAGCATACATCCTGCTCACACTTTACACATTGCTCACGTTGTTTTGGCGAGCGGAAGACTGCAGCACAGCAGTGAGGAAGCCAGTGGGAAAGGTGAAACCAGACAGCCAGAAAATGACAGGAGGCCGGGCCCGGCTGGCCCACAGCTCAAACTGCTCCACACGCATGGCCAAGTCCCGTGTCCAAGCAGCCAATGGCTTTTGTGAGGGGTATGCCTAGGGAAGGAGTGCATGCTTATTCTCTCATTTAGCCATGCATTCAAATCCTTATTTTTTCTTTATTTTGGGGTTTTAATTTTTTTTTATTTTTTAGATGGAATTTCGCTCTTGTTGTCCAGGTTGTACTGCAACAGTGTGATCCCAGCTTACCAAAACCTCTGCCTCCTGGGTTCAAGCGATTCTCCTGCCTCAGCCTCCCTAGTAGCTGGGATTATAGGCGTTCACCACCACACATGGCTAATTTTTGTATTTTTTTTTAGTAGAGACGGGGTTTTGCCATGTTGGCCAGGCTGGTCTCGAATTCCTGAACTCAGGTGATCCACCAGCCTTGGCCTCCCAAAGTGCTGGAATTACAGGCGTGAGCAACTGTGCCCAGCCCAAATCCTTATTTTTGAGCACCTGAAGCAGGTATGAGAAGACTATGTGGTATCAGCCCCTGTTCCCCAACTACAGGTGAGCAAAGCTCTCCAAAGCCAACTTCCGGGAAAGAGGCACACGACAACTATTCATTAATAACAATGACCACAGTAATATTAACCAGGTACCATTAATGAAGCACCTTCTCAGTGGTATGCACCATACTGGGAATCTTTGAGACATACTTGGAGAGGTTAGTAACTTGCCCTGAGTAAGTCTTTAAGTTAATAAGTTGTACAAAGTCAGTGAATGGCAGAGTCAGGTTTCAACCTTGAACCTGTCTAACTTCAAAGTTTAGGCTCTCTACAGTTTGTTGTATGCCCATCTAGAACCAGGAGATTGGGGAGCACAGGGCTGAGAGGGGAGCTCATTGTTGGAGAAGGATTAACAATGGTATCATCTTGCCTTTCCCCAGAGTGGAGGAACGTGGGCATCAAAGATGCAATTGAAAATCTCTTCCAGACTTGTAGACAGGACAATGAGGCCCTGGATGCCTTTCTCTAGGTCTGTCAGTGATAACCTGAGCAGGATGAGGTGGAGCGTTAGAGATGGAGTGGGCCTGGGAATGTCATTCTAGCCAGAAGGTGATGGCCTCTCCCCACCCCTTCCTATGTTCCACAGAGTCCCTCTCTGTCTTACAGGATGGTCTGCATCAGTTTGTTGTATCTTTGAATCTCCTGCAGAAGGACCACATTGAGGGGGGAGGGGTCAAGAGCTAGCAGTTTTCGGGTCCCCTCGTAGTCGATCATTTCAGGGATCTTCTGCTTCACATCAGCAGCCAACTCAAGGACCTGGGCAGGCAGAAGCTCTGAATGTAGCCCTGTCTTCTGGAATTCTTCAGGAATCAGTCCTGCCCTGATTCCCTCCCCCAGGCCTGGCTCATTTTACCTTCTCTTCCCGTGTCTGGCCTCCAGCCCTGATGGGTGTAATCTGAGGTTGCAAGGAAAGCAAAGTATCAAAGAGGGTTCGTGCTTCAGTGATCTGGGAGGCCACATCAGCATTGGGGTGCTGGCCAAAGGCCTCAGGGGGGTCCATGCCAGGCAATAAGCTGATGTATTCCTTGTAAGAGGCCAGGCTCCCATCCTTGGGGATGAAATAAGTCTCTAGGGCTGACAACCTGGAAAGTCATAGCATAATCACTGCCACATTGTGGGGACTCAGGCCTCAATGCCAGGCCAAGACCCCAAGCCTATGCAACTATTTGCCTATTTGTCCAATTCCCTGCCCTGTGCCCCTTCCCAATCCCATAAATTCTGTCTTCTCCCAATCTCATGTCCTCTCCTCAAACATTTCCCCCACCCCTGATCCCGCCACCTGGCTGGCTTGTGACCTCTGGCTCCCTGCCCAGTGCCACTTCCCCTCACCGGTAGAAGGGAGTTGATAAAGACTGGTCACAGAAATAATCATTGATGTAGGTAGTCAGCAGGCGCCGGTCCCAGTCATCTGTGACATGTCCACCATAGTTGACGCCGGCAATGAGGTACTTGAGTGCATCCCAAGGTGTCTCCTCATACTCATCCAGATAGAGGCTCAGCAAGTTCTCTGACACCTGGGCATAGTCCCAACCCAAGCCCCCATCGCCACACAGTTATGGCAGGAAATCTGCCAATGGAGCTTCAATATAGCCTTTCTGTCTGTGGATATTCCCACAGGGAAGCCATGGGGTAGGAAGTGTTAAGGAGAAAGGGCTGGGACAAGGACCCCTGGCTGTTACAAACCTCAAAGTCGGAGTCATTGAAGCCATAGATAATGTTCCAGCCAAGCTGCAGGAACTTTTTGCGTTCAAGTAATACAGAGTGGAAGAAACAAAGTGCAAACAGCAGCTTCTTATATTTGGCAGGTTTGGAGCAGCGGGTAAACTGTGGTTCTGTCATCAGTTGGTATAGACGTGTCATATTGGCCTTTAGGCCCTGGGGACAATAAAGTACAAAGATGGGGTTGACATGTATCATACTTAGATCTGCCACTAGCACCTCCATATACAGTTGTGTGGCGGCTCTTCACTGCACAAAGCCACTGGCTGAAAGGGTGAGTGGAGGCTGAAATGTAGCCCTTGATCTACATGCCAAGATATGCACTCCTCTACAAGGCTGGGTGCCTTTCTCTATCTAATTCGTAGACAGGCACTGTATGGGCTTGTGGCATGACTGACTTCTTGTCCCACCACTTTTGAATCTCTCAACCCTGATGTTCTCAGCAGTAGGTAGGCCAGCTCAATTTGGGGTGCGAGAAAATATGAACAAAGAGGAATACATATACATGCAGTTAACAAAAATGTACAGAATTGTGTGCAAAGGTTAGTGTAGATTTAAAAGGCCATACTATATCATCAAGGAGGAACAATCCATGTGATTGGCATTATTTGGCTCCATGAGCAAGCTGGGATTTGAACTAAGCCTTCCAAATGGGAAGGATATGACTAGGCTTGAGAGGGGAGTCTTCCTTTCCTGGAGATGGAAGGAATTGAATAAAGGCACAGAGGAGAAAATAAAGTGAGAGGATGAGCCTGGCTGAAGTCAAATGCAAGTGCTCAGGTGGGAAGAGGAGGGCCATGGATAGATGGAGATGCAATAAGAATGGATGTTTAAGCCATCTGTACTTGATTCACCAGGCATCATGGAGTCACTCTATCTTGAGTAGGACAGCAATCTGTTCAAAGAGCATTTTAAGAAGACTTATCTGTGACTGACGGAATGGAATAGTGAGAAACTTGAGGAATACTGGATAGCAGTAACAAAAATAATATGTGACTTTTTAAAAAATGCCGTTTGCCAGATGTGGCGGCTCATGCCTGTAATCCTAGCACTTTGGGAGGCCAACGCAGGTGGATCACTTGAGGCCAGGAGTTTGAGACCAGCCTAGCCAACATGGCGAAACCCCATCTCTACTAAAACTACAAAAAAAAATTAGCCGGGCATGGTGGCAGGCTCCTGTAATGCCAGCTACTCGGGAGGCTGAGGCAGGAGAATCACTTGAATCCAGGAGGCGGAGGTTGCAGTGAGCCAAGATTGAGCCATTGCACTCCAGCTTGGGTAACGAGCGAAACTCCATCTCAAAAAAAAAAATGACATTTATGACATCAAGATATGTCAAGTATTTAGAAATAAATCCAATTAAAATCTATGATTATTTATGGAGAAAATTACAGAATTTTAGGCCAGGCATGGTGGCTCACACCTGTAATCTCAGCGCTTTGGGAGGCCAAGATGGGAGGATTCCTTGAGCTCAGGAGTTCGAGACCAACCTGGGAAACAGCAAGATTCTGTCTCTATAAAAACAACAGCAACAACAACAAAATAACATTACAGAACTTTAGTAAAATAAAGAATAAATGGAGGCTGGGCACAGGGACTCATGCCACCTGGGATCCCATTGTGCTATGATTGCACCACTGCACTCCAACCTAGCTGATAGAGCAAGACCCTTTCTCTCTCTAAAAAAAGAGGAAAAACATGAGTAAATGGAGAAATATACTTACAGATTGGGATCTTCATTGTCCTAAAGGTATCAATTTCTCCCAAATTAGTCAATAGAATTTTTTTATACAACAAGGTAATTCTAAAATTTATATTGGTGAATAAAAGGTCAGGAATAGCCTGAAGAAGCATAAGGTAAGGGGATTGCCTTACCAGCTATCCAGAATTATTATAAAGCTATATGGTAATTAAGACTAAAGTATATTGGCCCAGCACTGTGGGTTATACCTGTAATCCCAGCAATTTAGGAGGCCAAGGTTGGAGGACAACTTGAGTCCAGGAGTCCAAGACCAGCCTGGCCAACATGGTAAAACCCAATCGCTACAAAAATATATATATACAAAAATTAGCCGGAGTTGTGGCACACACCTGTAAGGTGTAGGGGGGAGAATTGCTAGAGCCCAAGAGGCAGAGGTTGCAGTGAGCCATGATAGTGCCACTGTACTCCAGCCTGGGCCATAGAGCAAGACTCTGTCTCAAACCAACAAACAAAAAAAGGACTAAAGCATTGACTCCAGGATAAAACAATTTGACCAATGAACAGAATAAAAGACCCTGAAAAACCCATACATATATGGAAACATGATTGAAGGCTGAGCAGGCACTACAGATCAGAAAGGTACTTGCATAGTATTTAATAAGTGGTACTGGGAGAATTGGTTATCCATGTAGAAAAAAATTAAATTGGCTGGGTGCAGTGGGTGATGCCTGTAATTCCAACACTTAGGGAGGTTGAGGTGGGTAGATCACCTGAGGTCAGGAGTTCAAGACCAGCCTGGTCAACATGATGAAACCCCGTCTCTACAAAAAATAACAAAATTAGCCAGGTGGGGTTGCAGGTTCCTGTAATGTCAGCTACTCAGGAGACTGAGGCAGGAGAATCACTTGAAACCTGGGAGATGGAGGTTACAGTGCATCAAGATCATGCTACTGCACTCCAGCCTGGAGTGCACTCCAGCGAGACTCTGTCTCAAAAAAAAAAAAAAAAGAAAAGAAAAAAAGAACGAAAGAAAATTGGACCTCTGCCTCATACCACAGTCACAAAAATCAATTCCAAGTGATTAAAAACTTAAATGTAGGCCGGTGAGGTGGCTCACGCCTGTAATCCCAGCACTTTGGCAGGCCAAGGTGGGCGGATCACAAAGTCAGGAGTTCAAAACCAGCCTGGCCAATATGGTGAAACCCTGTCTCTACTAAAAATACAAAAATTAGTTGGGCGTGGTGGCACGCGCTTTTAGTCCCAGTTACCCGGGAGGTTGAGGCAGGAGAATCGCTTGAACCCAGGAGCAGAAGTCACAATGAGCTGAGATCATGCCACTGCACTCCAGCCTGGGTGGCAGAGCGATACTCCATTTGGTAAAAAAATTAAAGTAAAAATAAAATTAATTAAAAACCTAAATGTGAAAGTCAAATTATAAATATTTTGGAAGGCAAGTATAGGAAAGTACTTTTACAGTCTTAAAGTAAGCAAGGACTTCTTGAACAAGACAAAGGAGCACAAACCATTTAAAAAAGGAAAGATGTATATCTTTCCTGAGGCTAAATTCAACCTCATAAAAATTAAGAATTTATCTTCACAAAAAAACAGCATAAAAGAGACAAACCGCAAAACACATAACTGATGAAGGATTAGGATCTGGAATATATGAAGAACTACAAAACTCGAAGAACATCAGGAATGAATGTCAAGTACATAATGTTGCATAAAAAAAGCAAGTTACAGAGGAACGTAAATAACAGTGTTTGCATTAGCAATACAAACTTTTGCATTACAATGATAAAAAATTCCTAACTCCAGGGGAAAAGAAAAAAATTATAAAAGAAAATGAGAAATACAAGATTCAGAAGAGTGATTTCCTCTGAGTGGAGAGGGAAAGTGATAAGACTGGGAAGAGGCACACCAGGACTTCAAAGAAAATGCTGGGATTTTTCTTTCTTGAAAGGGTGATGTGCACACAGATATTCATGGAATCATAATCCTTTATAACTTGCTTGTATTTTATAAATATTCTTTTGTATCTACTTAATATCTAGCTTTTAAAAAAGATTGGGTAGCAGGAGGTGACCCAGGAATATACTCCAGGACTAAACCCCAAAGTGGCAACTGGGGGCTGTTAATACAGGGACTTTCTTATTTGAAGTAAAACTCAGGCCGGGCATGGTGGCTTAGCACTTTGGGAAGACAAGGCGGGTGTATCACAGGAGTTCAAGACCAGCCTGGCCAACAGGGTAAAACCCAGTCTCCACTACAAATATTAGGGGCCAGGTGCGGTGGCTCACACCTGTAATCCCAGCACTTTAGGAGGCCAAGGCAGGCAGATCATGAGGTCAGGAGTTCGAGACCCTGGCCTGAATGGTGAAACCCTTTCTCTAGTAAAAATACAAAAAATTAGCCAGGCATGGTAGCATGCACCTGTAGTCCCAGCTACTTGGGAGGCTGAGGCATGAGAATTGCTTGAAGCTGGTTGGTTGCAATGAGCTGAGATCATGCCACTGTACTCCAGCCTGGGCACAGAGTGAGACTCTATCTCAAAAGAAAAAAAAATAATTAGCTGTTTGTAGTGGCATATGCCCGTAATCCCAGCTACTTGGGAGGCTGAGGCAGGAGAATTTCTTGAACCCGGGAAATGGTGCCCAGGCTGGAGTGCAACGGTGTGATCTAGGCTCACTGCAGCCTCCACCTCTAGCTGGGATTCTCATACCTGAGCCCTATATATTACCTTCCTGACCTCAGATGATCTACCCACTTCGGCCTCCCAAAATGCTGAGATTACAGGTGTGAACCCCTGCACCCAGCCTGAGCCACCATGCTCAACTGAGACTCTTTCTTAAAAATGATCTTATTTCTAAACACAGTCACATTCTGAGTCTTGGGTGTTGGAACAAAAAAGTATGAAAAGAGTGTGCTATTATTATGTTGCTGGTGTGCCAAGAAGTGCTTTGTAATCCAATGGCAATTCAGAGCTGGAACTGACTTTGGTACTGGTGCCAGAGATGGGATTAGAGTTGAATCATGAAAAGGACAATTTCTCCAACAACTTGTGAAAGGAGAAAGTGTAGAATCAGAAACGCTGAGCCAGGACTGAGGGCCCTCCCCTCTTAGTCCTTAGTTCAAGGACCAAGTATTGAAATTTTGCCATAGGCAAAGAGGCAAAAGAAACAGAGGTAATAAATGATTTGTCAAAAGACGGGGGGTGGGAAGCAGGAGTGATGTGTCAGGGAGCCAGGAAAAGGGACAAGTCAACTGTGTCAACTGCCCCAAGGTGGTCAAGGAGGATTAAGAATGATGAAAGGCACCCATGCGTGATTCAAACAGCACTTATCTGTTAAGCATGATACATACTGGCCCATGTGCTTTTCACAGGGTGAGCAAAAAGGATTTTGATCTTGACTAAGAGCAATGAAAAGCTACTAAAATAGTTTAAGCAGGGGTGAGTGGGTGAACTGCAATGACACGGCTGGTTTTAGAGGATTGGGATGATTGCATTTGGTGATGAACTTGTGATACTGGAGATAAAAATTTCAGTAGAGTTGGAGGAAAGGAAGGACAAAGAGGCAGGAAGTGTGACATTAGGAAGAGAATGTAAGGAAATGCTGGGAGGCAGGAAGGTTCCGAGGTATAAAAGAGTGACTTTGGGGACCCAACTACCCAAACTCAGGCTCTGGAATGCTTATTTACTCTTTCTGTATCTCAGTGTCCTATCTTTAAAAATGGGGGCAACAGTATTCATCTGATAGGGTGTGTGTGTATGCCCATACATATTAAACCAGTTAATAAGTATAAGTAACTTACAACAGTGCCTGGCACATGATAATTACTCAAAAAATGTTAGATATTACTATTGTGTTCCAGGAGTTTGGCACAAACAGGAGAGGAATGAGGTGAATTTTTTTTTTTTTTTTTTTTTTGAGATGGAGTCTAACTCTGTTGCCCAGGCCAGAGTGCAGTGGGGTGACCTCAGTTTGCCACAACCTTTGCCTCTTGGGTTCAAGTGATTCTCCTGCCTCAGCCTCCCAAGTAGCTGGGCCTACAGGCACGCACCACCATGCCTAGCTAACTTTTGTGTTTTTAGTAGAGACAGGGTTTCACTATGTTGGCTAGGCTAGTCTCAAACTCCTGACCTTATGATCCACCCCCCTCAGCCTCCCAAAGTGCTGGGATTACAGGCATGAGCCACCACGTTTGGCCGAGGCAGAATTTTTTAGAGGACAATAAAATCAAAGCCATGTTGTTGTTGGGTTAAGCCTTCTCTCTGATGCTAGCAGGAGATAAGGTGGACCAGATGGCCCTGCTGATGCTGGCTCTCTATGGCCACATACCTTTGGTGGCTCTGTGGTCATCTTGATGCTGGCCTGCAAGATTGAGATAGGGAAGTCTGGGTGGGGGCTGGAGCTGAGCCAGAGACGGAAGGATGGATGAGGATCCTCCACCTGCAGCTGCTCCACCAGCTTGTCCAGATTAGGCATCCAAGACAGTGACAGATGGCAGTTTGCCAGGAACACCCAGTGTCCTGCAAGGAGATGCCAGGGTCAGTGGGAATCATTTCCTAAGCTCTGCCTGTCCTCATGCTTTCCACCTGATGTAGGTTAGTGGGTGGCTGGGGAAGGTCTAGCACTCAGTGTGCCACTTTCTGGGGCTCTCTGTAGAAGTGGGAGGTGCAGGTACAGTAGTGTAATTGAGGTTGGAGGTTCTAGGGACAAGGACGGGGCTGAAGCTGGGGGTGAAAGAAAGGATGGACACCAACCCTGAGTCACACCCTCTCGGAGAAGTCGAGCAGCAATGGGGGCCTGGCCCTGGCCCAGGGACAGGGCGTGGAAGCGCTGGGCCATGCCTGTGTGCTCTGCCAGCTGGAGCAGGGCGCTGGTGGGGTCCACACCCGGGGACAGGATGAACACAAGTGGGGATCGTGGGGTTGAATCCTCCATCACCTGCCAGAAGCACAGATATGGCATCAGGCAGAAGGCCACATAACCAAAGTTGGGGAGAGAGATGGAGGACACTGAAATAGAGCAAGGAAAGCAGGAAGGACCCAGGGGCCGTGGGCTCAAGGAAGCCAAGCCACTGACCAGCTTCATATTCAGCACAGGCGGCTCAATGAAGCGGGAGCCAAGGTTGGTGATGATGAAGGAGGTCACGCAGAAGGCCACGCGGTCCTGGCGCAGGGAGCGGACGATCAGCATCCGCTGCATTTCATTGCAGGCATTTTCCCACTCACCTGGGGAGGAGGTGAGTAATTGCAGGGAAAGGGAGTGAGTCTGGAAGAGGGGGAATCCAGACAAAGGGGCACCTGCTGAGAATGTGCTCTGGCGCCAGCTGGGAGAGGGGATGGAGGACAACGGGAAGGGCAGGCACATGGCTGAATGGAGGGAATGAGAAAGGTGAGAGTCGGGCACAGACACTTGGTACCTGGTAGCATTGCCTTCTCTGGGGCAGCATTGGTATACCACAGGTGCCAGTCGCGAGGGTACTGCTCAAAGGAGTTCATGAGTCCGTGGAAATTGGTCAGTTTGTCCAGCTCTGTGATGTTATCCCAGTAGGCATCTGCAAGCCAGCTAGTACATGGGTTGTCCATTTGGCCTTCCCGATCCAGGACCTGGTAGAGGAAGAAAGGAAGAAGAAAGGGATTGACCTGGGAATACCTCAAAAGAAGAATGATCTTTCTCTCCTCTCTCCCTCTCTCTCTCTCTCTCTCTCTTTCTCTTTCTGTGGGAAAGCCAAAAGCCAAAATTGTTTATGTTTTCCTTTTTTGTTGAGACGGAGTCTCACTCTGTCACCAAACTGGAGTGCAGTGGCGTGATCTCAGCTCACTGCAATCTCTGCCTCCCGGGTTCAAGTGGTTCTCCTGCCTCAGCCTCCCAAGTAGCTGAGATTACAGAAGGCTGCCACACCCAGCTATTTTTTTTTTTTTTTTTTTTTTTGTATTTTTAGTAGAGACAGAGTTTCACCATATTGGCCAGGATGGTCTCGATCTCTTGACCTTGTGATCCACCTGCCTTGTCGTCCCAAAGTGCTGGGATTACAGGAATGAGCCACTACACCTGGCCTTTTTTTTTAAAGACAGTGTTGCCCTTGCAGCCTTGGCTCACTGCAACCTCTGCCTCCCAGGTTCAGGCAATTCTCCTGCCTCAGCCTCCTGACTAGCTGGGATTACAGGTGCCCACTACTACACCTGGCTAATTACTGTATTTTTAGTAGAGACAGGGTTTCACCACGTTGGCCAGGCTGGTCTTGAACTCCTGACCTCAAGTGATTCATCCTCCTCTGCCTCCCAAAGTGCTGGGATTACAGGCACGAGCCACCACGCCCAGCCCAAAATGAGTTTTGTATGAGGGTGAAGAGATGGATATAGGGATCCTGGGGAATAAATGTGGAGGTCTAGGACCCAGACCCTGCCCTTAGCCTTCACAGTTCAAATTTAGGAATCTGGCGCCCTCTGCTGGTTTCCTACTAATAATGTCTGCAACCTAATGGCTGGTTGGTAGCCTCAGGCTTCAGAGAAGAACAAACTGTTTACTCATTCATTCGCTCACTTGCTTATTCATTCTTCTTAAAAAATATTTATTGTTCACCAACTATGGATTTTAATCATTGAGATGATTTTAATTACTGAGAAAAATGGACAAATATCTTTGTCCGTGGGGATTTTATTTTCCAACATGGGATTGTGAAATCATGGGCAGATTATGAAGCAAAAACATAACAAATAAGTAAATAGTATAGCAAAGATGGCAGTGCCATGGGAAAATAGGATACTCTGAGGAGGGTAAGGAAGACTGGGAATGTTGAGGGGTAGTTTGAAGTGTGAAATAAGAAGCTCAAGGTCTCATTGAGGTGAGGTTTGAAGGAGGTAAGAGATGGCCAAGTACATATGCTGGGGAGTGGCTTTGTGGCAGAAGGCATGGCCATGCAAAGGCCCTGAGGTAAGACATGTCATGGGGATTGGGGAGGGCAGTCAGGCCTGTGTGGGGAGGGCAGTGAGGCCTGAGTGGGCGCTGTGTGGTAGGAGGCGGCACCAGCCATGGGGAGCCTGTCACAATGACATCTATTAAAAGGGCCTCTCAGGCCAAGCACCATGGCTCATGCCTATAATCACAGCACTTTGGGAGGCTGAGGTAGGAGGATCTCTTGAGCCCAGGAGTTTGAGACCAGCCTGGGCAACATGGTGAGATCTTGCCTCTACAAACAATATAAAAATTAACCAGGCATGGTGGCACAGGCCTGTAGTCCCAGCTATTCCAGAGGCTAAGATGGGAGCATGGCTTGAGCCCGGGAGTTCGAGGCTGCAGTGAGCCAAGATCACTGCCACCACAGTCCATCCTGAGTGAAGCAGTCAGACCTCTGATTGCTGTGTTGAGAGTCTGGGGTGGGAGGCATGAAGTGAAGGTGGCAAAAGTCAAGAAAACGTTGTTTAGGAGGGCAGGAGAGTGCAGCACGGCTGTCCAGCCTTAAGGGCCTCCTTGAGGTTCACGATCATGGACTTAAAGCAAGTCCATTCGGTGTGGATGTGTTCTTCTCCGGCCATGCTCAGCTGCATGGGCCATGCAGGGACCCAGGGAAAGAGAAGCTGGATCTAGCCAGAGTGGTAGATGCAACACAGAGAGGAGGAAAACAGGGCTTGAGGAGCCTGCCAGTGAGAGATTGTGAGGGTTCCATAGAACTCAGGCTGGGGAAGGAGTACGTTGAAAGGCAGGAAAAAAGTGGCAAGATCACACCAATCGGTGGGTCACAAGTGAGACAAGGTGCAAAGCCCAGCCTGTGCTGAGGGCCAGGGGGTGCATGGCAAGTCATCGCCGCAGCACCAGGGAGCTTGCCATGTACCTGACGCTGGCCTGGTTTTTCTCAGCTACTCATGGCTGCCGTGGGTCTGGAGTCCTTATCACACTTGCCCTCATCCCCATCCTTGACCATCCCATACTGGGATGTGCTCTCTGCCCAACTCACCACACCCCCACGTAGAAAGAAGTTGTATTCATCCATGTTGAGCTTGCCAGAAGTCTCCAAGATTTTGGCACACATATGAAAACTGAATAGTAGTTTGTGACGTTCAAAAAGGGTACGGCAGGTGTACCTGGGAGAAAGGGACAGGGAGGAGGGAGGAGGCAGAATGGAATGGGGGCTGCCACACTAACTCTACAATCCTACTGTCACACAGCCTCACACAGAGGACCTCACCAGTCTCTAATCCTAACCTCCTAGGAACAGCCAAGGACTCAGGGGCTAGAGACAAGAATTCCCCAGAGTTCACTCATAACTATAATAATAGCAATTATTATTATATTATTATTAGTTTTTGAGACTGAGTTTCACATTTGTTGCCCAGGCTGGCACAGTCTCAGCTCACTGCAATGTCTGCCTCCCAGGTTCAAGCGATTCTCCTGCTTCAGCCTCCTGATTAGCTGGGATTGCAGGTACCTGCCACCACACCTGGCTAATTTTTGTATTTTTAGTAGACACAGGGTTTCACCATGTTGGCCAGGCTGGTCTCAAACTCCTGACCTCAGGTGATCCACCCACCTCAGCCTCTCAAAGTGCTGAAATTACAGGCGTGAGCCACTGTGCCCAGCCTTTCACTCATAATTAGTCATTCAGTTCCATTAAAAAAACCAAAGCCTTCATTATTCCCCTAATGTCTTGCCAGGCACTCTGCTAGGTCCTGAAGACAGAAAGATGAATAAGCCACACTCTCGGTGAGGACAGAGAGGCCATCAGTTACGTCGTCTCTGCTTGCTGGACTCGGGGAAAGTTTCCTAGAGGAGGTGCCCCAAGGTGCAGCAGTTTTCAGATGACATGGGAAAAGCAGAGAGGTCACAGCATGAGCAAAAGCATGAGAAGGGCACAGTGCACAGGGCAATCAGGGCTGCTGAGGCCCCTGGTGCAAGGCAGGAAAGGTGAGGCTGAGGCAGGAGAAGACCAGGTCACGAGGGCTTTGTGGGCCACTGGGGACCCAGCAAGCAACCACTGGCAGTCAGACCCAGGGAGCAGCATGGCCAGGTTTGCTCAGGTGGGCAGCTACAGGAGGATGGGTTGAGAGGGTAGAGGCAGGAAGACCTCTAGGAGGCCATTGTACAATTTAGAAAAAAAGGATCCCCAGGGCCTAAAGTACAGCCAAGGAGTGGGAAGATGGAGATGGAACAGTTTGCAGAAACATTCATGAACAAAACCTGGTGACTGCTTTGAAGGGGAAGAGTTGAGAATAACTGCCAATTTTAGTCAGGCATGGTGATTCATGCCTGTAATCCCAACATTCTGGGAGACCATGGCAGGAGGATCCCTTGAGCTCAGGAGTTTGAGACCAGCCAGGGCAACGTAGGGAGACCCCTGTCTCTACAACTAAAAAAAAATTTTTTTTTTGAGACGGAGTTTCACTTGTTACCCAGGCTGGAGTGCAATGGCGTGATCTCGGCTCACCACAACCTCCGCCTCCTGGGTTCAGGCAATTCTCCTGCCTCAGCCTCCTGAGTAGCTGGGATTACAGGCACACGCTACCATGCCCAGCTAATTTTTTGTATTTTTAGTAGAGATGGAGTTTCACCATGTTGACCAGGATGGTCTCTATCTCTTGAGCACGTGATCCACCCGCCTCGGCCTCCCAAAGTGCTGGGATTACGGGCTTGAGCCACCACGCCCAGCGTTACAACTAAAAATTATATAAAATAAAGGATAATTCCCAATTTCTGGCTTCGGTGACTGGGTAGTGGGTGTTGGTGTCATCCAGGGATGAGGACCCTGAAGAAAGAGGGAAGAGAATGAGTTTGAGCTGAAACTAATTGAACTTGAAGGGTCTGTGGGATGTCAGGGTAGAGAAGTCCAGTTCCTTGCAACTCAAATGTGATCCACAGACCAAGAGCAGCAGTGCCCGCTGGGAGCTTGTTTGACTTGAAGAACCCCAGGCCCCACTCAGATCTGCCAAATCCCAACTGGTATTTTAACAGAGTACGGGTGCTCTACCTGCCCATTACCATTTGGGCAGTGCTGGTATCACCAACAGTTGAGTAGCTAAGTCCAATGCTCAAGAGAGGGCTATAGCCACAAGACTGGGAATCACTGGCCCACAGGTAATGGTTAAGCCGTGAGAGTGAGGAGCTACCAGGAGGACACAGGCAGGGGACAGCGGCAGGCTGAGGGCTGCGGCACGAGAAAGCATTAAGGCATGGTGGCCAGAAGAGCCACAGCCACTCGGCCTCCTGGCTGGGGCATGTGGGGGGAACCCTCAGACCTGTAGACAGCGTAGGTGTGGTAGTCGTTCAGGTAGTCAATGCGGTCCTCCAGCTTATTGCTGCGGTGGCTCTTGTCGATGCTGAGGATGAAGAGGCTGATGTAGGCATCCAGTGAGAACTGGTACATGGGGTCGATGCAGCCCATGTCATTGAGCACGAAGAACAGGACTGATGCCCGCTGGGCACATGGGCGATAAGCCTGCAGGCGTGGGGGAGTCAGGGTCACCAAGGGACATGGCAGGGAGCGGGGGCCTGAGGAAAGAGGTGGTCTCGAGCCATCATGACAGTTTCATCTTGGATAGCAGGTGGGAGGACATGGAGCTCACCTCCCGAGCCAGGTCGATGTTGATCTCTGTGGTCTCACTGGTCTCCAGCTGCTCAGTCACCTCTTTAGCTGTTATCTTGGAGGTCTGCAGCGTGTTTACCAGCTGCACATCATCTAGCAGGGAGCCGGTGGCCTCATTCAGCAGCCTGGGGGAGGCCCAGAGACACGTGGAGCCGGGGTTTGGAGGACCAGGCTCCCTGGGATGCTGCTGTGCCTGGGGTGGGCTGGGTGGAGGCTGGCTGGGAGGAGGCCTGTGGGGTGGTGGGAGGGGGAGGCAGGGCCTCACCGCAGGATCTCATCCTCCAGCTCCTTGAGCTTCCTCTTGCCAGCCGCAATGTTGATGACCAGTGAGTCCTTCTGCTCCTCTAGCTCAGGCCGCTCCTTCCGCACCACAATGCCCAGCAGCTGGGCCTCCAGGCCCTGGGAGCATCCAGACTCACCATGAGGGGCTCTTACTCCTTCAGCCTTCACCTTCTTCATCCCTTTACACCTCGAAAGACCCCTCATCCTCAGCTGCCCAGCACAATCTTATCCCTTTTCTCAATCCTTCCAAACTCTTCCTGCTTCACCCCAGCTGAGTCTGGACCTCAGCCTGCACCCACCTGTTCTTTAACAGCGAAGTTGACGATGGTGGTCTTGGCTGAGGTCTCTGGGTTGTAGTGGGGGTTGGAGAGCTTGGTGGTGATGTAGAAACGGAAATTGGTATTATATTCCACCTCCTTATCTCCAAGACGCATCAGCAGCCGACTGCCTGCATCCATGGAAGGACCCCCTGTGACCGGTACTGGCTAACCCGTCCCCCACCAGCTGCATCCACGGAAGGACCCCATGTGATGGGTACCGCCAACCCATCCCCCACCAGCACCCAGGGACAGTGACTTGGCCTGCCCTAAGGCCCCAGCCCAGGGCTGTCTGAACGGAGGGACAGGTAAGTAGAGGACATAGTCAGAGAGCCAGCCCTTCCCTCCCTAGCATCCCACTCAGCTGGTATCAGGGACTTGTCCTGACCAATTCGGGCTACAGATTTGTTGAGCACAGGGTTGAGTGTGGGGTCCAGATATTCCGGCACGTTCTGAAGTAGCACCGGGTATCCAAACTGAATGGCGTTTTCTAGAATTCGAAGGTAATCGCTCATCTGCAGGTCGATGATCTTCAGGCCCTAGAGAGTGAGGGGGAAAGGTGGAGGAACACTGGGGGAGACAAGGGAGCTGACAGCCCAAGGACAGGGCCTCAGGAAGAGGCAGGGCTTGGGGAGAAATTCTACAGGGGACAAATGTGGCCCCCCCAGCCTCACACCTGTCTTCCTTCCATGTTCTTAATCCATTTCAGGGCCTGGGCCTGAGGGTCGATCATCAGTGCCCACCTAGAGGGGGAGGGCATGTCAGAGGACAGCCCTGTCCCTGTGCCACCCCCATCCCAGCATGACCCTTACCTATTGCCTCGGGTGACAATGATGCCATTCTCAGTGGAGAAGGCATCAGAGGGCAACCCCTGGATGTTCCAGTCCCTGACTTTGGTAGGATTGGACAGGAAGTTCTCAATGGCGAAGGAAGGGGAGCAAGGAACCTGAAGCTCCCAGATCTGGGGAGAGAAGAGCCCCAAGCTTTAACTCAAAGAGCGGAGCCCAGCAGCCCCTGCCCCTGCAGGATATCTCTTGATAGTCCCAAAGGTCCTGCCCTAGCCCTGGTCTCTGAGCCCCCTTATATCTGAGCCCCATCTCACCTTCCTGATCCAGATCTGGTTGACAATCTCATCCCGGTAGTTGGTCAGGAAGGGTCCCATGTAGGAGAGGAAGGCAGCTGCCAGGAGACAATCCCCAACCAGGTAGCCCAGGTCCTCATCCAGACCCTGGCAGACAGGAGGGAAGGTAAGCCTGCCTGGGCCCCAGCACTCTGGGAGACACCTGGAATGCTTTTGAAGGCACCCTCCTCTGGACACTAATTCAAAGAGGTTCTTTTCCATCTCCTCAACCTTTGCATCCTGACAATTCTAGCCTGGTTCTAATTACTTTCGAGCTCCCTATCTCTTAATAGCAGTGTTTACATTCTGGTGATAAGGCCTAACCCTTTTCAGGAGCTCACTGAGGGCAGAAAGATGTGCCATGTCTGTTTTCTCTCTGGTCGGTGGGCTATGTCAAGAGTTCTTGTATGCATATCCCAGCCCTACCCAAACACTGAAGCAGATCCCAAATGGTGCAAAAAGCCTTTCTTCCATTGCTCTCACCAAAGGTGTGCAGGGGGAGGGGAAGGGCTCCCACGCCTCAGTTCTTAGAGTTCCCTATATCCAGGTGTCCCTATTTTCCCTGACTATCCCTCAAGCTAATGGTGATGGGTCTCTTGGAAGTGGTGGGCAGAGTGAAAGAACACCAGGTGATATAGGTGAATGGAAGGACAGGTAAGTAGAGGACACAGTCAGAGAGCCAGCCCTTCCCTCCCTAGCATCCCACTTGGCTGGTCTCAGGGACTTGTCCTGATCTCACCTGGACTGTCTCCTCCCATCTGGCCTTCTCGCCAGCCAATCCTGACACCAGCATCCCGGCTCGCTCCAGCTTCAGCTCCATCTCTTCAGACTTCTGGCGAAGCTCCTCCTTCTGTGCCAGCTTCTCGTCATACTGTTTCTTCAGCATCTCTAGTTTCTCAGCTACCTGGGAGAGATTGGAGTATAGGGCATCAAACAGCGGGCTTGCAGCCAGACTGTTTTGTTCAAATCATGACTCTGCCATTTTGTAGCTTTGTTAATCTCCTTGAGCCTCAGTTTCCTCATGTTGCAAAAGAATACTTACCCTATAGGGTTGTCGTGAAGAGTAAATGAGATAAAATATGTGTGATGAGGTAAGGTTAATTTTCTTCCCCTTTCTTCTACCACCCTTTCCTAGCTGGTAGGAGATGGAGACCTCTTGAAGCATAATAAACCACACAAGATTGGTTGGCAAGAGAAGGACAGAGAGCACATAAATGACTGCCACTCCATGCCAGAGACCATGCCTAAGGTGGAACCTTGAAAGAGGAAGAAGCAGTGAGAAATGAACCCAAGAGCTATTAGAGGAAAAGAGTCCGACAAAGGACTGGCTGGGTGTGGTGGCTCATGCCTGTAATCCCAATACTTTGGCAGGTCAAGGCAGGAGGATCCCTTGGGGCCAGGAGCTTGAGACCAGCCTGGGCAACATGGTGAGACCCCCGTCTCTGTTCAAAAAATAGAAAAGAAAAAGGACCAAGTCCAAGGTCCCACACTAGAGATGGAGGCCTGGGCAGAACTGTGTATACTAGAGAAACCTCTCTCAAGTCATTGCCATGTAAGGACTCTGTTGAGGTTGAAATGAATATATATATATACACACACACATACATATAGGGATATATATATATATATATATATACACACAGACATATATAACTAACATGTATGCTGTGCTGTATCCCCCATCCCATATTCCTCATGATGAAAAAGACAGTGATACAGTCTGTATCTGGCACAGCTGCTGTTGGCCGATCAGATACACATGTAGGATCATACACACATACAGGATGTTGGGACAGCTCTATCAGTTCTCTACTTCAGATTTGAGTGAATATATATATAATAATAACATATATAACATACTATATCATAGATGATATATGTGTACAATATACAACATATGTATATAATATATATTAGAAGTACATAATATATAACACATGTATTATATGTATATAATATATAGGTAATATATATAATGTATAACATATAATATATAACATATATAATATATATTATATATACATATTAACTGAAATCTGAAGTAGAGAACTGATAGAGCCTTGTCCTAAGATCCTGTATGTATGTATGGTATGTATATCTGATCGGCCAACAGCAATTGTGCCTGGATACAGACTGTATCACCATCCTTTTCATCATGAGGAATGTGGGATGGGGGTTACACACAGCATGCACAGCATACACGTTAGTTCCTTTTCCTGCTGCCACCTCACTAGGAAAAGCAGCCTGCAATTGTGGAAATAGTTCCACTACTATAAAGCAGAAGTAGCTCTGCCTTAATGAGTAATTCTGGTAAGTTTCAACCTTTTGGACCCTTGCCGGGGTTGCTGTGTATAAAGGTGATGTGGGCTGAGGCGCAGTACCTGACCAAAGCACTTGGAAATGGTACAGATCACTCTCCAAAAAATATTCTTTAAAACAGCCGAGCGTGGTGGCTCACGCCTGTAATCCCAGCACTTTGGGAGGCCGAGGCAGGTGGATCACGAGCTCAAGAGATCGAGACCATCCTGGTCAACATGGTGAAACCCCATCTCTACTAAAAATACAAAAAAAAAAAAAAATTAGCTGGGCACGGTGGCGCATGCCTGTAGTCCCAGCTACTCAGGAGGCTGAGGCAGGAGAATTGTCTGAACCCAGGAGGCGGAGGTTGCGGTGAGCCAAGATCGCGCCATTGCACTCCAGCCTGGGTAACGAGCGAAACTCCGTCTAAAAAAAAAAAAAAATTCTTTAAAACAACATGGAGATTCAAGGTGTCACCTTCCAGGGACTCTCTGTGAATCTGCTGTGATTCTGGGGGGGTTCCTGATAAAATAAAAATAAATAAATAAAAATAAAGTGTCACCTCCCAAGGACTTGAGAGCTTATAGATTCAGCCTTGGTAGTGACCTGATAGATGCCATTAACATCTAAAGAAAGAAGGTGTCACTCAGAAGGCACGTGGTCAGCTGGGCCACTCAGAGGAACACTTGCTGGGGGCCCACAAGGTGGCGGGGCGGGGGACGCTCTAACCCCACACATGGGTGTTGGGTCTAGCCCTGATGGAGCCGATACTTTGGTGGTCTTTGCTCCAGCACCTGCCAGTCGCCAGGATCATGTGATCGAGCTGGGTGCACCCTCATCACCAACATTCCGATTGTAATTTCACTTCCCTTGGAGATGTGTCAGTAGGGAGGCATCCAGGCTGCTTGATAGTTCTTTTCATTTTGTTTTATTCGTTTCCCTTATTTTTTTTATAGATAATTCTATGTTTAATTACTAATTTCATGTGTGGTGGTGGTGTCGTCATTGTTTATTGTTTATACAAGAAATACATGAGCAAGTTTAAAACCTAAATGATATAAAAGGTTACAGGAAAAGTAGCATCTAGACCATGTTTCCCACACCTAGACTTCTTCGTCTGAGGCAAACTATTTTTTTGTTCTTTCCTTTCTTTCTTTCTTTTTTTTTTTTTTTTTTTTTTGAGACGGAGTTTCGCTCTTGTTACCCAGACTGGAGTGCAATGGCACGATCTCGGCTCACCGCAACCTCCGCCTCCTGGGTTCAGGCAATTCTCCTGCCTCAGCCTCTTGAGTAGCTGGGACTACAGGCATGCGCCACCATGCCCAGCTAATTTTTTTTTTTGTATTTTTAGTAGAGACGGGGTTTCACCATGTTGACCAGGATGGTCTCGATCTCTTGAGCTCGTGATCCACCCGCCTCGGCCTCCCAAAGTGCTGGGATTACAGGCGTGAGCCACCGCGCCGGCTTAACCACTTTCCTTTTTATTTATGCTGATTGTTACTTCTGTATCTCTGAAAAATATGCTTATGCCTCTATTTTTAAAGTATGCTAATCTCTTTGCAGCTTTGAATTTTTAAAAATTATTATGAAAAATTTTAAACCTAGAAACACCCATCAGCTAGATTTCACAGTTAACATTTTGCTATATATATTTCATATACTTGTTTTTTGCCAAAGTATCTTCAAGTAAATTAAAAACTCATGAAATTTCAAGCCTAAATACTTCATAACACATCTCTAAAAATTAATAAGGACATTTTTCTGCATAACCATACACTATTATTATACCTAATAAAATATTTGTTGTATCTTAGAAAATAATTACTACCTGTTTTTTTTTGAATAGTGAATACATTTACATCAATAAAAATCCAAAAGGAACAAAAGTACCTACAGTGAAGGGGAGGTCTTCCTCCCACTCCTGAGCCCTCTCCCAGGCCTTGCTCTAGTTTCCCGGGTAGCTTTCTAGAATAGTTCCTGCACAGAATTGCTTCTATATAAAGAAAACATAAGCACTGTGAAGGCAGGGACTTGTTCCACCACTGAATCTTTAGACCTAAAATAATGCTCAGTACTCACACGTTTTTAATAAATGAATTTTTTTTTTTTAAGACAGAGTCTTGCACTGTCACCCAGCCTGGAGTGCAGTGGCATGATCTCAGCTTACTGCAACCTCCACCTTTTGGTTCAGGCAATTCTCCTGCCTCAGCCTTCTGAGTAGCTGAGATTACAGGCACCCACCACCATGCCCAGCTAATTTTTGTATTTTTAGTAGATTAAATTTTGTATTTTTAGTAATTTTTGTATTTCACCATATTGGCCAGGCTGGTCTCGAACTCCTGACCTCCAGTGATCCACCTGCCTCAACCTCCCAAAGTGCTGGGATTACAGGCATGAGCCAATGCACCTGGCCAGAATAAATGAATTTTTAATCAGTGGTTATATACTATAACACTGTACTTTCCGATTTTTTTTTTACTTGTTTCCAAATCAGTTCTTATGAGCTGCCTCATTCTTTTTAGCAGCTGCAAAACACTCTTGTGAGTGACTGAACTATGATTTATATAACAAGTCTCCTACAGATACACATTTGTGTTTTTCCAACATTCTGCTATGAACAATGCTGTAATAAGTATCCTTGTACAAGGTCAGGCATGTTGTCTCACGCCTGTCATCCCAGCTACTTGGTAGGTTGAGGCAGGAGAATTGCTTGAACCTGGGAGGTGGAGGTTGCAGTGAGCCGCAGTCACACCATTGCACTCCAGCCTGGGCGACAGAGTGAGACTCAGTCTCAAAAAACAAAACAAAACAAAGAAATAATCTAAAATGGATACACTGGGCAACAGCAATATAGACTATGCTTCTATATGTATAGAATATCCCTGGAAGGAGAGTCAAGAAACCGGTAACAATAGTAACATTGGCTGCCTCTAAAGAAGGGACGTGGCTGAGTGGGGAACAGGGTTAGGAGGAAGACTTTTCCTACCCTCATGCCCTTGGGCCTTTTGAATTTTTGATAGCTATTCCGAACCTCACAAAGTAAAAAAAAAAAAAAAATTAAAGGAACAAGAAATAGCAGTGTGAAGATGTGCTCGTGCCTGTACAAAAATTTTTCTTTCTTTTTTTTTTTTTTTTTGTAGAGACAGGGTCTTGCTATGTTGCCCGGGGTCTCAAACTCCTGGCCTCAAGCAATCCTCCTGCCTCTGCCTCCCAAAGTGCTGGGATTATAGGCGTTAGACAACATGTAGAGATGGGGCCTGTGCGGTGGCTTACACCTGTAATCCCAGCCCTTTGGGAGGCTGAGGCAGGCAGATTGCCTGAGGTCAGGAGTTCCAGACCAGCCTGGCCAATATAGTGAAACCCCGTCTCTACTAAAAATACAAAAAAAAAAAAAAATTAGCCAGACGAGGTGGTGGGCACCTGTCATCCCAGCTACTTGGTAGGTTGAGGCAGGGGAATTGCTTGAATCAGGGAAGTGGAGGTTGCAGTGAGCCCAGATCACACCACTGAACTCACTCCAGCCTGGTAGACAGGGCGAGACTCTGTCTGAATTGTGTACTTTAAAATGGTTACAATAATATATTTTATATGTATTTTACCACAATCAACCCCCTAAGAAAAGGAGGTATTTATATGTGAATTTATAACCCCCAATACAGTAAATGCTTATTGGTTGGATTATATCTCTTATATTAATCTGTTGCTAAAGATTTCTTCAAGTTAAATTTAAGTGCACAAGTCATGGTTCCAGATAACTGACATTTTGTTGAAGCTAAAACCAAGATTTTCTCCATGTATCCTCATTTTCTCAAATGCTATTGGGTTTCTACTATGGTCTTTGGCAACAGTAATAACCAATTTTTTGGCAACATAATTTTATCTGCAACTTGTGCATGCCTTATTAAGACCCTTGAATTCTTAATCTCGAATGATGCTCATGAGAGACTTCATTCTCAACTAATACAGCCTTTAGTTTCTGAGGAACAGCATACTTTTCCAGGGAGAAACAGCCCAGCTTAAGAAAACTGATCTACCCAGAGAACCCCCACCCCACTATGGTCCAAATGTTCATGTCTCACTCAAAATCATGTTCGAACTTAATCCCCAATGCAGTGGTGTTGGGAGGTGAGTCATCTGGGAGGTGATTTGGTCATGGGGGTGGGGCCCTCAGGAATGGGATTAGTGCCCTAATAAAAGAAGCCCAAGAGAGCTTGTTTGTCCCTTCTGTTATACGAGAACACACATAAGCATCATCTGAGAGGAACTGGTCTTACCAGACACCGAATGTACTTGCACCTTGATTTTAGACTTTGCAGTCTTCAAACTGTAAGATATCAATTTCTGTTATTTATTTATTTACTTGAGATGGGGTTTCACCATGTTGGCCAGGCTGGTCTTGAACGCCTGACCTTGTGATTGGCCTGCCTCAGCCAATCAGTGCTGGGATTACAGGTGTGAGCCATCGCACCTGGTCAATTTCTGTTATTTATAAATTACCCAGTATTTTGCTCCAGTATTGGGCTCCTAGAGAGGAGCCCAAATGAACTGAGATAACCCCTCAGCTGAGACTGGGCAGAAAAGGAAGTCGGGGTGGGGGGGTGATTTGGGGACTTTAACTTCAGAAGGTTGAACTCTAGATTTTTAATTCACAAAGGCAAGATTAGTTGATTTCGGATTTCCATTCCTTGGGACTTTAGTTTACAAAGGGATTTATTTAATCTTTGAAATTTAATTTCTCCCTGGGGATTATATTCAAATTTGTGGAATTTCTACATATCATTATTATTGGAGCATTTTAATGCTGTCATTTAGTTGCGCTGCATGGCCTCTGATATGTTATGTCGGACAATGTGACCAGACATAATTTGGAATGCAAAATAGAAAAAAATGTGAATGTTCAGCCTTGGGGATACAGTTGCCCTGAAGTAGATTAAGACATAATTTGGAATGCAAAATAGGAAAAAATGTGAATGTTCAGCCTTGGGGATACAGTTGTCTTGAAGTATATTAAGATTCTGTTCTGACCCATTTCAGAGCCTTCTGGGGCCCTGTCTATGCCAGTTGTTTGTAACCCTTGTTGTACATCAGAACTAGCTGATGAGTGAGTAATGGCTAAAGCTATTTACTCAAACTTTGTACTGATCTGCACTGTAGTTGGGCTCTGAGCCTCTTTTCAGACCTGAGACCCAGTTCTATGCATAAGCTTTCCTACCTCTGGTAGGCTCTGACAGGAAAGTTTTTAAAATGCTGATTCTGGCAGGGTCTGGTGGCTCATGCCTGTAATCCCAGCACTTTGGGAGGCAGAGGCAGGCAGATCACCTGAGGTCGGGAGTTCGAGACCAGCCTGATCAGCATGGTAAAACCCTGCTTCTACTAAAAATACAAATATTAGCTGGTCATAGTGGTGGGCACCTGTAATCCCAGCTACTGAGGAGGCTGAGGCAGGAGAATCACTTGAAACTGGGAGGCAGAGGTTGCAGTGAGCTGAGATTGTGCCACTGTACTCCAGCCTGGGCAACAGAGTGAGACTCCATCACTCCATCTCAAAAAAAATAAATAAATAAAAAGCTGATTTCCAGGCTCTGTCAGGGATTCTTACTTAATTGGCCTGGGATGGGGCCCTGGTATCAGCACAGTGCCTAGTTGTAAAGTTCTATTAAAATGTACATTTGGGGCCAGTCATGGTGGCTCACACCTGTAATCCCAGCACTTTGGGAGGCCAAGGTGGACGGATCACTCGAGATCAGAAGTTCAAGACCAGCCTGGCCAAGCTGGTGAAACCCTGTCTCTACTAAAAATACCAGTCCCCACCCAGCATATACACAGACACCCTCACGTTGTTCTTGGTTCACAGCAGCGACATAGACACTCTTGACCCATCCCCCTGGCAAAGACCAATTTACCATGAAGATTTCATCAGTTAGTATCTCAGACCCCATCTCCAAAGGCTGTGACAGAGATTGCCAGCTCCCAAGTCAATCTTTGGAAGGGCTCCTGGGTCGCAGTGCCCTGAGCCTTTATAACCCTCTGCAATCTTAGCTTTCTGAGCTAGAGGCAGCCCAATCTGAACAGGGCAGAGTGGGAAGAAGACAGGACTGGAGTGAAGTAGGCCATGGGAAAGGGGGCATAGAATTAGATGGGGAAAAACAAATGCTTAATAAAGCAATCTAGAACTCAGGAAGAGGGACCTCTGTGGACAGGAGAGCAGCTCACCTCCCGCAGCTTCTCCTGGGCCTCAGCGAGTGCGGCTTGCTTCTCCCGAAGCTGAGCCAAAGCAGCGTTCATCCGGATCCGCTTGGGCTCCACCACCCGATAGAGCCGTCCATACAACTGCGGGGAGACAACCAGGCTGTGGGGGTCGCCCATCAACCCACCAGCCCCCTCACCTCCAGGCATACTCTCCTTCCACCTGAGTCTGTGCATCTGCCCTCCTCCCAGGCATGTCCTTCTTACTCCCAGCCCCAGCCCAGCCACCCTTACCTCCATGGCCCGCACCCACATGCAGAGGGACTTGGCAGCCAGGGAGACTCGGCCAATGATATCAGGCTGGAAGTCAGGCTGGGCGCAGTAGGCCCCAATCTTCTTCAGAACCTTATCTGAGATATTGTCTTTATCAAAGTTGATCAGTGACTTGATGAAGTTCTGTTCCCCTGTGGGATGAAAACTAGGAGCCTTAGCCAGAAGCCTAATGCCATCTTCCTTGCCCAGCAGTTTCATCTCTACTACTCAGGCCTTGCCATATTTTTCCTGGGCTCAGTTCCTAAGGCCAAACTATCTGACCTGGCCCCTAGTTCCTCCCTCTGACTTGGCTCTGTCTCTAGGCACGTCTCAGCCTCCAAGGTCCCTCATGACCCTCCCAGCTCCTCTCTCACCACTTACCTTGATCTCTCAGCCAAGCAACCCTACACTTTATTTTTTTCTCTTTGCTTTGCACTTTCTTCTAGGGCAGGGATCACCAAACTGAGATTGGCAAGCTGTATTCTACAATGGGAACTCAGAGCAGAGCAAACCACAGGAATAGAACACAGGATCCCGGTTCCCATTTTCAGATTCTTGTCCCCTCTGGGGGCCTGAGGGCATTCCTGACCTTGGATGCAGGCATCTTTAGGACAATTTTGTTTAATATACAGATGCTCCCAATAAACCCATCATACATTGAAAATATGGTAAATCAAAAATGTATTTAATGCATCTAACCTACTGAATGTCATAATTTAGCCCAGCTTAACTTACATGTGCTCAGAGCAGTTACATTAAGCCTACAGTTGGGCAAAATCATTAACACAAAGTCTATTTTATAACAAAGTGTTGAATATCTCATGTAATGTATTGAATACTGTACTGAAAGTGGAAAACAGAATGATTGTGTGGGTACCAGGGTATAGACAAAAAATCTTAAGTCAAACCACCGTAAGTTGTCAGTATCAAGATGACCTGTTTTCTGTTAAAACCAAACAATCTTTTTTAAAATTTCATATTTAATAAATTCTAAAAGTGATCAGAAATGTAGTTTTTGCTTTTTCTTTTTTAGTGAAAAGAAACAGGTAACTTTGTAAAAAGTCAGAAAATACCAGTAACAACCAAATAATCTTTTTTTTGGTTTTGTTTTGGAGACAGAGTCTGGCTCTGTCGCCAGGCTGGAGTGCACTGGTGCAATCTTAGTTTACTGCAGCCTCTGCCTTCCAGGTTTAAACGATCCTCCTGACTCAGCCTCCCAAGTCGCTGGGACTATAGGCATAAGCCATCATGCCCAGATAATTTTTGTAATTTTTTGTAGAGATGGGTTTTCACCATGTTGCCCAGGCTGTTCTCAAACTCCTGGGCTCAAGTGATCTGCCCACCTTGGCCTCCCAAAGCCTGGGATTACAGGCGTGAGCCACAGCACCCAGCCCACAACCAAAGAAACGTTAACTGATATTCATGTGATCTCCTTTCTACTAAGCCCTGTGCTCTTGAGGGTGGGTATAATACCTCATCCATTTCTATCTTTCTGTGTGTCTGCTGCACAGCCAACAATCAGTAAACACTGGATGAGCGGAAGTCATTTCTCTCATGGCCTCTAGCTTACCTAGCTGCCTCTTGGCCTCTGCCCACGTGGGCTCATTGCCTCGAAGAATCATAACTGCCTGCATCACTATCTCCACTTGGGCTGGGGGCCGTCCATAAGACTTAATCTCTCCTATATCCTTTTTGTTCAGAGACTCCAGGGCCTGGGGAAAAAGGGATAAACTGATGGAGCAACTCCGGGGGTAAGACAGGTCCTTATGGAGACAGGACCTAGCTGGGGCACCACCTGTTCTTCCCACTTCCCGAGAGTCTTTGAGGACAGAGAAGTCTGGCCCATTCCCTTCCCTGGGGCCTCCCACTCAGGCTCCCATCCTTGCACCCGCCCCTGGTACCCGCATGGCCTCTTCCAGGGCGGGCAGTGCCTCTTCTAGATCTTTTTGGGCATTGTCAGCCAGGGCCTGACACTTGATTTCCTCAATTGCAATCTTTTCACTGTTGGCTGTTACAGCCTAGGGATGGAAAAAGGACAAGGGTTTTCTGTTTTTGCCTTGGGCAAAGATGGGAGTGATGGTGTGGGTGGAAAAGATGAAAGAGAAAGCTACATTATTTATTTATTGAGACAAATCTTGCTCTTTCACCCAGGTTGGAGTGCAGTGGCATAATCTCAGCTC